AATCTTCATTTGGACTTTTTTTCAGTTAACACTATTTTAGAATTAATAATTTTTTTAATTAAACCACTTTTTTTCAATAAACTGCCCATAACTTAAGCCCATAAAAAACTATTTCAGTATTCTTTCAGAATTAGACCCACAAGCTCAATAATACTTTATAATTCATATAAAAATCATAACATGAATCGTTAATAATGAGTTATCCTCTGAATCCTCACTTAGACAGCTTTTATATCATGATGGTTACTTATAGTAAATCATCTCTTCTATTTTAATTAATGAAGTTCTTTATGTATATAATATATAAAAAGAAACATTTAGACTCTAAAAAAAACATTTAGACTCTAAAAATCTGGATGTTCTAGACATCTAGAATTTTTTTTTTTATTTAAACACTAAAAAAAATAACTCTCTCAATGTCGCTTGAAGATGACTGAAATATGAGCTACCAGATAAAAACAACGAAATAATTGAGTTAAAATTGTTTAAAATAAAATTTTAAAAATAAATAATATTTATACAAGAATCAATTCATACATAGACGTATTCTATAATATTTGATGTTGAATTATTTTTAGTTGATGATGACTTGTTTGGTAATCGCATCAAACATTTAAAAAGTTATAAATTAGAAGTTGACTAACTTCGCGATGGAACGAACTCTGCACGGCGTGTATTGAACTACAAAGTATGTCATTAATTAAAATTTTGGAAGATCTCAGAGGTGGAACTGTGTGTACCAATTATACTAATTTTACATTTCCATTCTGACTATAAAAATTACAATAAATGCAAATTACAGACTTTTGAAAAACATATAATAAAGTAGAATTTATGATGACAATGACAAATGCCGCGATAGAAATAGAAAAAAAGTTAACAAAATTAAAACACGAAAAAGTAAAACACATAATCTTCAGAGAAAATAGCCTTAAGTGAAAGATGGCTCGTGGCTGTGGGACCTCCTTAATTTAGTTTAACAGTTTGATAGTTGATCGCTTACAATACCGGGCACTGCTGATCTGCAGTCGCTGGTTCAATAAAACTCGTACAATGAACAGCGCCCAGCTGTCTGCCGCTTCATACAAAATCATATATTGTGGTTTGTTATGGAAATTAGATTATGCTAATTTTTCGGATTAAATTGGTAGATTGGTTTTGCTTGTATGGTAAGATCGGATTTGATTAACATCAACAATTAAACTCACAAAAACAAAACAATAACAAAATAAAAGACTCTTTTTAACACGAATTTATTATAATAAAATGGCAAATGTCGACTAATTCCAAATCTAAAATGTAAGCTCGTGTGGCTTAAACAAAGCGCGGATGGTGCGGATTTGGAGACTGTGTGCCTGTCAATAGAAGACAATTAAGTCGATTTCTATTGATTATTAATTGACATCAGTTTTTTTTGTTTTCTTCTTATTTTTTATATTATACTTTATTATAGGAATAGTAAATCAAAAGTTTTACTGCATGACAGTAAGAATAATTTGAATATGATAATTTCGTATTTTATATACGACACTATTAGTTAAGTAAAGAAAAACATAAAAAAATTATCTATGATTCACCCAAAAGTTGTTAAAAATGATTTAATTTAAAAAATAATCATGCAAATAACATATGAGATTAATAAGGTTAACACAGAAAACTCGATTTTAAAAGTATATGACATGTCGGGAAACCTATTGCAAAGTTCTACACAGACTTGGACATAAAACAGTAGTATTATAATAAATTAAGGAATTATTAATTTAAGGGAGAACTAAATTTTTCATAAAAAGTATTATTTTTACATTAAGTTTCATTAATAATTAAACGATAGATAGAATACTAATAAAGGTTAGTTTGGAATGGGATCCGTGTGCACCAAAGCTCATTTAAGTACAAACAATGGCCCATTGCGATATAGGTATAACTAAATAAATTTAGTTTAAATAGATTTTAATATAAATATATATGATATATATACATTCATAAATAATAATATATAATATATAAAATATATAAATAATGTACATATATACAAATAAATATATATAATTATTATATAAAATATATAATAATATAATATATATATTATACAATATAATCTAACAAATTATTATTACAACCAATATTCAATTAGTTTTTTATTGGTACTGGGCTTAGGTCGTTTATTTAACACATAGAATTATAAATGTTTTTTTTTAATATAAAATTTTACTTTTTACTTTTACTAAGGACGTGTGCAGTTAGGCTAAGTTGCGTTCTAAATGAGGGAAGTTGTGCCTAATATGTTGTACCGATAATGTAGTGATGTGTCGATACGTGTAGATAAATGGCTAAATGTGTGCAGTGCAAAAAATCCCAAAAAATCTCCCATTTGGTTTAGCATCAACTTCGCCAAACTCGCAAAGGTCCTAAATACTTAACATAATTTAATAAGTGTAATGTTTTATTTAGAAAAATAATTTATAATTTTAAATGTTAATTAAACGGCCTAAGTCCAATAACAATAAAAAAATTAATAATATAGTATATATAATATAATATTATATTTTTAATATAAATGTATAAATTAATACATAAATATGTGTATCTATTTATTACATTATATATGTTTATTATTACATTTATTATATTGTATAAATATATACATTTATATATAAATTTATATAAATAAAAATTTGATAAATTTTTATCAGAAAATATATTAAGAATATGTGGGTATATATAAAAGATCAATAATTTAAGTCAAAATAGTCAAAATACATCAGTAATTATAATTATGGACAAATAAATAAAGAGAAAATACGATATTAATAAAATGGATGTGCATCTTTGCAGAACAGGAAAATTATTATCCATTTGAAATTCATATCTACGAAGGATTATAATTCTCAAAAAAAAAAAAAAACTTATAATGCATAATTTATTAAATAAAATATAAATATTTTATATTTTATTTTATATTTTATGAATAACTGAATTCAGGGTCTCGATATATGTGTTTGTTTCATTTAATATATTAAAACTAAAAATTGTGAAACTGGTGTCAGTTAGTTATGTGCTAACTTCTTATACCTCGGTTTTGTTATTAGAAATGTATACAAATATATAAATAATTAAATAATATATTTAATTAACTAAAAACATTAAAATATAGTGCAGATAATGTGTAAATGGCCAATTATAGGCGTCAGTAATATATAATAACTAGAAAATTAGAGAATCGCTCTTATTTCAAGTCACTTCATTTAATTCCCAATGTGTTGTTTCCTAATGTGAGGAGTTGTTAACTCTTACTTCACTCTTACTTACTTAATTATATTATATATAATTATTATATACCTATATCAGTAAAACAGAGTACTCATCTATTTATATTATTTTAACGTTCAAAACAAAATGTTGTTATATATAAAGATAGTTAAGTAATTTTGGGATCTTAGACTTAAGATTATTTTCGGAAAGCTAATAATCAATTGTATTATTGCCTATTTAAATTATATAAGGAATGTTTTTATATAGATTGCAGAATATATATATTAAAAATCGTTTTGAAGCACTGTTCTTTTATAAAATGATAATAATAATTGTATTTTTATTTGTTTGTGGGAGGTTGTGGTATTTCGTATCGATAATTTAAAGTTAATAATATCTAATCAGACACATTAGAATATGTTTTTAAAAAACTTATAATTTTGAAATGCTTTTCTAGAAAGATATCTGAATAATTATTTTATAACAAAATTTTTTTTACACAAAATGTAAGTAATATTTTAACTCCAGATTATATTGAGTGCATCATATTGCGTTTTGTATTATATTTTAGCATTAAGAAATGATCATTAGTACATGTCTCTTGTATAATGAATTTAACCGTAGAGAATTACACTCTTAGTAAAAATTCAAAACCCTTGACGCACATTATTGAAAGATACTTCCTAAAAATTTGACACAATTTTAATAATATGTGATAAAAAATAATTTCATCTATTTTTGATCTTTAGTAAATTAAAATTTTATTTTTAACTTTATTTATTTCAAAATGTTAACAAAAAAAAAATAATGCTGGCTTGAAGTCATTTTTTATTATAAGTATAAAATTTTGCGAACAGAAATAATTCGAGAATGATATATTTCATCCAATTAATAGAATATATTTTAGCAATAGTAAACTAACATAATTCATTTCCAATGTATTTTTAAAAATATATAATAACTATCTACTTATACACATATATGTATATATAAAAACTGCTTGTATTCTTTTTAAAAAAAATTCGTTGATATTTATGGCTTCAATTTTTATATATTTTCGTATTTATTTAAATGAATTAAAATTTTATAACATCGTTCCCCATAAAAAAATAATTAAGTTCTATGAACTTAAATGTTTAATTCATTTTCTGAAGAATCTTAACTGATTTAAATATATGTACTTCCACATTTTCTTCTATGAGTTGGAATAAATTATAGATAATTACGAGATGGAAACAGGTATTATGAATTCATGTACGTATTTTTGATATTTTAATAAAAATTGATAATTCTTTTATTTATACAAATCCGTACTTTAAACTATTAACATATTAATTAATTATATATTAAGTTATTTTTAAAAAGTTTCTATTCGAAATAAGCCTGCAATTAATTAAATTTACTACGCCTGCATGATATATGACAATTTAACAGATTTTATTTTTAGTTTTTTAATTTCATTTTCGTTCACAATCCGTTTAAATTCACAAACTCGCCAACCACGTTTTAATTTTATTAAAAAATCGGTTAATTTGAATAGTTCAGAAAGATTTTTCGAAGTCGAATTTTAAGTTCACCGTTTATTCTCGAAAGTTTAATAGTAGTGTGCATTAGTGTGTGTGTGTGTGCCTGTGTTAAATGTACATAAGCAAACAACATTACATGAAAAACATTTTTAAATGCTAAAAGCTTTTCTCAAAAGCTGCAATAAGCTTTTCTGCCAAGTATTGTTTGCAGTGAAAACTTACCTGCCCAACTTCTGACTTTTGGCAAATAATCATTCCAGAAGGAACAACGTGCCGCTAAAGGACCTCTCTGCAATTTTTCAATTTTGTCATCAGTACTAAATGTGTAATAAACGGGATCCTCCTTGGAGAAATTAGGCCATTCCTCACCATCTGTTGCTGGATTGCTGAAATTATTTAAAAGAAAGCTTTAGCTTTAATACAATTTCGAAAAGCTTGCCAATAACTTTTAAGCTCTAAGTTGCTATAATTATTTATAGAAATTTCTATTATAAATTTATACCAATTTATGTTAATAAAATTATATGTGAATTTAAATAAGTAATATAATTATACGAGTAAAAATGAAAAACTTTAATATTTATTTTAACTATATTTGTAAACTTATGTTAGCGATCAAAGAATATTGGGATGCATATGGGATTATAAACTGAAAGCTATTTATTTTCCCTTTATTCGAAAAGTGAAAGATTTCAAGAAGTTAGGATAACGCAAAGTAAATATTGAAACGCGAAATAAAATACAGAAATTATTTTTTTATGCTTAGCTATATGCTTTCTTAAACTAGTAGAGATACAGAAAATCATGAAATGTTTCTTAGAGTCCATTTTTATTTAAAATTGAAATCCATACATGAATCCTATTAAAGTTTCCGAGTTTTATACTACAATATTGTGACGAATTTGGTTGCAGAAATATCAAATCGTAGCAACACGGAAAACTGACAGGAATAAGGAAAACTAATGCCAGAGATATTCTTTCGGAAAGGGAAGTTTGGGGTCAGTTGGTTGGCAGTTTCTGTTCGTAGATTGGAGTTCGAACTATAGTTTCAGAAATTTTGTACGAGATAACAGCGTGAATGGACAATAAAGTAGGTGGAGTTATTAACAAATAATCTGAAGCGGTTATTTTTGGCATTTGTAGAATTATTGACAATCCAGTGAGAATTAAAAAATTCAAATTCGTAACAATATAAAGACCCTAACTGGATTATTTGAATACAGTAATAAACTTCACTTAACAATATTATAACTATCTTTACATTAAACGTAAATAACTTCATAGTCCATGCAAACTATTTTGTTTGTAAAAATTATTATGTGTGGAACTACTATTAAATTATTTTTAATTTATTTTAATAGCACCAATTGTAGCAATGCATTCGATTTTATTTCTATTCAACAATCCAATTATAATAATTTTCGCATACTATATATTGCTAAGGTTAAAGTGAATGAAGGATATGAAGGACAGTGAGTATAGAAAATAGGTTTAAAACCGGTGTGATAATTTTACTAAATTATCTCATGTCACCATTCACTATTCCAAGAATAAATTATATTAATTATTTTAAAAATACTTAAAAATAGAATTAAGTTTATAGTCAAGATAAAAAGTAAAAGAAATTATTACTTTTAGAAAATACCAAATAAATATCACATCACTTTTAATTATATTGAAGTAAGTATTTGCACTAGATTAATAATTAATATTATAATTCTTTCACGAAAATCTAAAATCATTTTACTGAAATTATAAAACAAACAGTTAATAATAGAACTATTTCAATAAAGTTGTAAAATCATACTTGAAAGTCAACAACTTATCTGACCCACATTAGCTTTTCATATTTATTACTAACAGAAATTCCATTCAAAATATCTTTAATACCATCATCTACTCGTATGCCACCTTAACGATTTAGACTGACGGGATACTGCAAAATAGAACACTTACCCTGTTTTTGCAAATTCAATAACCGAGTTAAGCATCCTTTTGCCAAGTTCGCGTTCGACTTGTCGATACTGCAACGAATTATTCAAAGGCTGCCCGAAGAAATACTCAATCTCATCACCATGCAACACTCCCATCCACTCACCCCACAAAGAAGTGCTTGTACGCTGAAAAAAGATGAAAATAAAAAAATCATTAACGCTTGGTAAGTATGGTAGCTATGAAAGAGACGAGGGACGATGCTTCAGTCATCCTCTCGTAAAATGATAAACTGTATTTATTCACTTTTTCCATTAAATAACGAAAATTGGCACAAGTAGCTGAGCTTCGCAAAATAATATAAACTGAAGGGGATAAACGTCAGAAATTTTTGCAGGAACACTATCAGTGATGTGCAGCACAATAAAAGGATGAAACTTTAAAGTGAACTTTTTAATTTCATATTTGGCTTTCGTTTAATTGGCAGTTTAGTTTTTATGAAAAGTGGCACCAGAAAACGTAGTCTAGTAGCTCCGTTCCGCCACCGCGAAAAGAAATTTAATTACTTTTTTAAATTTCTGCAAGTGTGTGCCAGATACTTTATAAGGTGAAGTTTTTAAGTGGATTGAAATACGCTGAACTACTTTGTTGAACTTTATTCTATAGAACATAATTTTATTGATTTACGGGTTTACTTGAAGCAACAAATGTATTTGAATAACATCTTGAAGTTATGTTGTGAAGACATCGTACTGTAAATACTGTAAATAGTACAATATCGCGACAATAACTGAGGTTGGCAAACCTCAGATTAATTTGAAAATAGATTGAATTGATTTAGATAAATAGATAAATAACAGGGTCATATGATCGTATATGAAAGGATCATATGTCATGCTACAAATGACCCTCAGAGAATACAAGTACAGAGCATTCCAACTGAAGCTTAGAATATTCCGTATTAAGGATTTCCTAATATTATACGGAGAAAAAATGTCCCGCACCAGGTTTATCTTATTTAAATTTATTATAATTAAAAAAATTATCAAATAACGTTATATAGTCTTTTTACTACTAAAACTACTTATTTGGTTCTAATATTATATTATAAATATATAAATATTTCATAAATTTGCTAATAGTTTAAAAATTCTGATATTGTGTAAAGGTATATACATTCCTTCTTTTTTGTGGAAGGAATCATTTGGAAGGCTACTAACTTTATATGAAAATACCTATATACAGTCATTGTTAATGTGATTAGATAAAAACTTCATTTGCAAGACCTACTAATGCTAAGTTTTTGATCAATATATGATAACTTTATATGTGTTAATAGGATTCAAATGCTCCTTTAATAAGTCAAAAAATAATCAAATTTTTCGTTTTTGATGTTTTGCTAATTTCATTAAAAGTTCGAATCTGTGATCATTGTTGGTTATTATGATTATTTTTAGGTATCATTTATTAGTCATATGTAACTTCCCGGTTAACATGACTTTAACATAATAAGTCCAGATCTTGGATATTCATTAAAAAGGATCGCGTGATTACTGTAATGCTTGATATAGTTTTTTCTCTAGTTTTTAGTCTTTGGTGTGTAGAAACCCACGCAGAGAAACTGTTCATTTTAATAATCACTGCAGAAGTTGTTGAAACTTACAGGGAACGGACGGTATTAAGCATTTAAACATTGTGAATGTCCGGCTCTGACCTCTAGAAGAAGTAGAATTTTAGGGAAGTACTTTTTTAACAGCTTGTCAGACTGTTCATCGGTAAAGATGCAAGAACTATTAAGTTATCTAGATTGGACGCAATGGGTGTAGTTGGTTCTCTTACATCTTAAGGTTTCTTGAAAGGAATATGGTAGATAAGCGGTGAAAAATAATTAACTGAGGACAGCTGAAAACTGTCTATTAAACTGCAACTACAATCAATCAACCAACCATTCCTCCCTTTAAGATGAGATATGAAACTGATAAGGTACCGGCTCTTAAAGGATAGATTCCTTCAGATTGATTCCTTCCCTTACTGTTCGTATAATTTATTTTTAGTGAAAGTGTTTTTAAAAACACATTTTTTTTTCATTAATTAATTTAATAAAAAAAATTTTAAATTTAAATTTTTATTTTTAGTTTTAAATTTGAAAATTTTACGAATAAATTTCAAATTTAAATGTTTAAAGACTGAATAATTCGCGCTAATAGTTGTTTCCTTTGATATTTTTGCTTGATGTTCCTATCCTTCGTTGTCAGTCACAATGACAATTAAACTCTTCTCTTCAAGTAAAAGTAAATGTCATCAATTCATCCTTCATTTACGAAGACAAGAGCGGTATGCTTCGTGTTGACAAAACGGTAGTCAAAGTTACACAGAGTACGTATCCTATTGAAATTATCTTCTGTATATAACATACTAAAGACTTCACAAAGTAAGCGTTCAAACTGAACAAATATTGTAGAACTTTGCCAGCATCACTTAAACGCGTCTGCACTCGTAAGTGTTTTGAAAGGGAATTATTAACGGACGATTTGTGTCAAATGGGGTAACACATAAATGCAGTGGTTCATACATTAAATATGCACAATGCCACAGCACCGAGTGTGCGATATCAAGTGATGTCACACTCCGCAGTAAAAGACAAGTTGTTGCACCAATTTAACTTTCCGATAAGCAGTGATGCCATCTATCGTTGAAGGCCGACGTTGATTGTCTGTAGTGTGAGCGCCATGTTCCAATAAATTAAAATTGTAAGGGTAATGCGGTTGTGCTTTTTAAATATATTAACTTTCTCGTTGTGTTATATATAATGAATATGTAACTTAACTTTACTATGACACTTATATACAAATGCCGGATAGATATGTAAAATATGAATTATTACTAATAATATTATTATTAATATTATTAATCAAGCAAAACCCATAAAAAATAAAGATTAATAAATCAAATTTAAAAAAGGGTAAACTTTTTTAATGTTATTCTGGTGGCAAATCAAACCTAACTCCTCTTCGCTTTTCGATTATAAAATGGCCAGAGGGTCTTTGTAATAGAAATATGTATGCAATCGTTTGACCTACACAAGTATGGCATTTGTAGGGGAAACAGAAGACACAACGCTTCTGTTGTGCTTCATCAACTGGAATAAATGTTAACAAATCAATTAGAATTAATTAAAGAGCAAAAAGTGTATTTGCATGTCTCACAAAAATTAAAAAATTTTAATATCTTAGAAAACAGTTATTGAAATTGTTTTTTTTTTCTTTCAATTTTCCATTGCGTTAGGCCTATATCTGAGTTCATCAAATTACAGCTAGATCCACATACAAAAATTTTTCTTTTTTGAACTGATAGTTCTTGAAAGTTCATTAAAGAAGTTGCTATAACATTTTTTATATATTGGATAACAAAAAACTACTGACTCAAAGATGAAAACAGTTTCTTATTTTTAAAAAGTTTGTTTGAGATCCCATTTAAAGCACTGGAATCGCTTTCTATCCATTGCGGTACTCGATTTATAGAAATTTCCTTCTAATTTTCACAGAATCTGTATGTGTCGATATCCTTTGATGATAGTTAACAAGAGCTTATTCAATTAAGAAACAAGTAATTAATCTCTGTCCAGATCAAGAAACATGTCATTTTACCTGTTGACATGGATCAATTTTTCTGAATACAGATATAACATAGACTGACAAGTGGATATTCCCTAAAAAAATTTGAGAACCTTAACCGAAGTTAATGTACCCGCTTTCACAAGTTTATACTAAATTAGGTCTTTTCCTTTATTTCATGTTTCCTAATATTGAATCAGCCTAAGTGGATATCCCGTAAATAGATTTGCAACCTGTTTTGTTATCATTAAATTCATATCGACCTGGTATTCGGACAAGTGTTACTTTATGTATACTTTCGCCAATTCAGATATGAGATTTTTGATGTTTATAAACAATTTAAATTTAGTGCTCTAGGTTTGAGAAGATTAAATAATTTCCTGATTATCTAAATATACTATAATTATATTATCGATTATATAATAAGAAATAGTATTCTGTATCATAGAACGGTTTCTTGTTTGCTGTTCCGATATTGATGGCAAACTTAAGAAACTTTTAAAAAATATTTGAATCGACTACTTTTAATTTGCGTCTACAGATCAATTAAATGGATTTATATATGCTGGAGCCCATCTGTAGAGAGAGAGAGAGAGAGAGAGAAATGCTGCATTAGTCACAAGAATAAGAGAATGGAAGATTTAATACAGATCAATTAAATGGATTTATATATGCTGGAGCCCATCTGTAGAGCGAGAGAGAGAAATGCTGTATTAGTCACAAGAATAAGAGAATGGAAGATTTAATACTAAGTATAGAAATTTTAAATAACGATATTTCCGCTCTGTATTAGAAAAACACTGTTTAATTTTGATTAAATGTGTTATGTTTTTGATACACACTTTAAAGTTGTCCGACATATATTTAAGCAACTTGAAATGCAGATAGATTGAAAGTGCATAGATACATACTAACGATTGCTGTGTAATAATACCCAGCAATAATCTTTTTGTTCTTCGATTCACAAGTTCGGCATAATATGTAAGGAACAGACGTATTAGGGAGTTTGATACTGAAATTTTAAGACCCATCTTTTTAATTTATTATGTATAAAAAATTTAGTGAAATGAAATATTTATTGAAAATTGTTTTTGAGTTCCTAGAAGATGGAAGCCACTAAAACTAAAATATGCAACAATAATCAATACTAAATTAAACTCATTCCCCACTTTCAGTGCCAAACACAATGTCACAATTGTTCCATATACTGGCCTTGACCATAATTGTAGTTGAACGCACCTTTCCTTACCTACATATTGAGTAATAATATTGCTTCCCACATTAGCTGTGTTGAACACGTGCTACCAATAAAACGCACAAGCTGCACACCACGAAGTTCTTCCCAGGCCCCGAATACGCATAGAACACTAATTAAGCTACAACATTTAAGGTCGTATTTAGTTACATTCATTTGATTGTTAGATACTTTTCCTTATTCTCATTTCGAATGCCCAATCCATTTACTTTTCGATGTTATGTCATTTACTCTTCAGTTCCACTTCTGTTAACGCATACTTAAATTTTAGTCAAACAAAGATAAACTTGACAATAAATAAAGTTTGTTGTTAAAATATATGTTTACTTGTATATTGTATAAATTAATATATAAATATATGTGTATACGTGTATATAAACTCCATTTAGTGATTAGTAAAATATACAGTAAGTAATTAAATAAAATCAATGATATCAGCAGTTTAGAAGTTCATGTTGATTGAAATGCGCTATGGAGTTCCTTGTCATCAAAAGAAATTTCATGAAGTATTAAATTATATTAAATTATGAAATATTAACTTAAAAAGCATTATTAGCATTATTTTGAATAATTATTTCTCTGTTTACCTTGAAATAAATAGAGCTTATGATAAAATCATATTAGAAGTTAATAAAAAAAATTTAATAATAATACCTCTCCATTAAAAAACTATAGTTTCTCTTAAGAAACATGGTTTCTTTCGTCATAATTGACGATTTAAAAAATTCAATAATAATTATAGTTACTTTTTATATTATTTTAACTTTACTTTAACTTCACATAAAGATGTAGCAAAAGAAAAGGATATAGTATACCAGTTGTACTTATTAGTACCCAACATAATATAACAAATTTGTCTCTAATACAATATAATTCCATATATATGTTATTAATATCCATACAAATTTCAATAAAGCCGGTTGGTCCCATAGTTTTCGTATGTATTCACAACCAAAATAAATATACTAAATCGTGTTTTTATAAACATATAGATACAGATGAATAAATAAAAATATAATTGAAAAATACACAGGGCAAAGTAATTTTCGTAATAATTTTAATCTATAAAATAAATTCCAACAAACAATTATTTTTTTTACTTATTGTCTTTTGAGATTACAAAGATAGAATACTTTGTTTGAATTCGAGCACCGAATCCATGTATAGTAATGTAGTCTAAGCCCACCAAGCTATTTTCTTTTCCTATTAAAAAACTTATATCTACAATGTATCAGTAATTTAAGTATCTGCTAAACATCACGTTTTAAATAAACCGAAATTTTATACATGTTAGAAAAATACTCGAATTTGTATTTATCGAAATATCCGTCTTACTGAAATCCAAAAGAAAAGTGTCCTTACAAGATTTTAAATAAGTTTTTTTTTTTTCTTATAATTTTTTATCTTTAATTTTGTTTTATGTTGCTAATTTAGTCAATATATATATGTGATTTTCTTATAAACCAATTCATGAATACAGAATAAACAGAACATTGCACATTACGAGTATGGTACTAGAGTTTCCAAAGGTCGATCCCAAAGTCTTACTTTAATCACAGCCTGAGATATTTTAAAACACTTTTTTAGCTGCAATTTCTTTAAAGATTGGAAAATTTGGGTTATCGAAACTCTTAATTTTTCCAATAATGATCTTTTTTTGTTAATTTTCAAAGAAGTTAAAGAAAATATTTCTCTTTAGCTTCCACTTTCTTAATGATTTGGTGCCACTTCCTCAAAGATTAGAAAATTTGGAATATTGAAATTTTTCGTTTTTTAAAGGCGTTTTCGATTGGTAGATCTGGATTCAATCTTAACTTACTTTCGATCTATCAAATTTTGTTACTATTTTTAGAAAAATGTAACATTCTTGTACTGTGTAAGTACTGCAGGGATCTCCAAGATTTTGAGCTAAGAATGTGGGGACTTTTTAGTCCTTAGGAATGAATAACATAATGAGTTGGGCAAGCAAATGGTTTTCGTATCTTAAGTACATTTTTTTCTTCAAGTTCTAGGAACGAACCAAAAACAGCATTCTTAAATATGTTAGTATGCATTTATATTTATGATAAATACCTACATATATCGAATCAAATCACACTTTATTTGCCAAGTCATATAATTTCAGGATAATCTTGTTACTCTGGAAAAATATCTAGAGTGTTATAAATTAATCTCGAGTGTTATACATTTCACTCTGGATTTACCAAACGAAAATGAAAATTTTACTACTCGTAAAATGAATCTCGATTGAAAAAGTGACTCCAGATTAATGTTCACTTTTGGTTACTTATAAAAAAGTAAAGAAAATAATTTTGTTTTTGTTACTAATTCTTTAATGTTCGAACAATTCGAGATATTTAAGTTAAAGAAGCAGATCCTTATTTTCAGTGATATTAAGTACTCTTTAATTACTACTTCACTTATTATTCTGTGTTATTTATTAGTTTTACCCGTAAATGTTAGTCGAAAATACTGAAAGTACTTAAATATCAAAGCCTTACTGCTCGTATATTTGTATATTTTCTTTGAAAGAACTTTGGCTATTTTCGTCTTCATATATATTAGCCTGATGAAAGTTAAATTATTATAAATCTGTCTTCAACTATTTCGGAATAGTAATTTTCCACTTAACTCAACATATTAATTTACAAATGATTATTATTTAAATTAAATTATTTGCAACAGAATTTAGTGCGACATTTTATGTAAGTGAATTTAACTCTGCAATTTCTGACAACTGCAGTTTCTTATTCCATTCGTTTCGTTTCTGAATCGTTTTAAAAATAGTTTTGCAACATGACCTGGAAAATTGTCTTTTTCCGCAATAAAAAATTTAATAAAATAGCTTGGTTGGTTGTTTTTCCTTTTGTTTTCCACCCTTTTATTAGTACTACAATTGCAAAAGTAGAGAAGCAATTTAATATGTCAAACTTTCTGGTAGCCTCGATTTTTTTTTCTGTTGCAGTCCTAGTTTCTCGTTGTGAGGCAAATTAGCCTCAGGACTTGGAAAGCTTGATTTCGCAGAACAAGTGAAATGCACCAAAAACGTATCTGTGTATCTCTGTGTGTGCATGCAGTTTTATTTAAGCAACATTTGTGTAAACTGCACTGATGCAAGTGTTTGCTTTTCTGTTGTTCAGTAGTGGCTTCTCGGTACCGCCGTAGTGGGTCTGACTTCAAGTTGAAAATGTGTGCTATCTTGTACTTATGTGTGTGATGTGATATACAGTTTTATAAATAATTACACTGGGTAAATAAAATTTTTACTGTAACCAGATTTGACGTTTCTCTCAAGATATATTTTTGCAAATAACAAAAACAAATATTTCATGCGGAATTTTGAACTTTTTTATCTTCGAGGACTTACTTCATTTTTTATGAATTTCATTATGGTCGGTCGAAGTAAGCAAAATGCTTAAAGTTCAAAGTTGAATGCAGTGAAATATAAAACGAAGATTTCCATTTTGCTGAGTCGTAAAAGTAGTAAGACTTATTTGCACTCATTTTATCCTTTGCAAGAAGGAAAAAAACAATCACAATAGCAACTTAGCTGGATATTTGAAATATTTAAAAAGAAACCATTTTAATATTTTCTGAAATGGAAAGGCACTTAAAACGAGTGAGTGTTCTTTATATTTGTAGCACTGTTATTTCTTTCTTCTTAACTAATGCTTTCATTTAAAAATATGATCGAGTATGGTAAAAGTAATTATACGAATCTAATATAAACAATTCACTATATATTTAATAATTCTGTCCTGGTATTACGTTAACTTACATGTGTAAAATAGTAGTAGTGCACTGCAGCGCCTCGTTCAGCTAACGATTGAGCGTACTCATTGGTGGGGCAGGTGAAGAAATGGTCACCAACAGCGCGTCCAATTTGCTGTTGATTTTGGTATCCTGGATTACCTTCCCAACTCGTGTACTGAAAACATATATCAAAATATTAATATGCTAAATGTGTGATTTACGAATACCTATGAGTTAGTAATGTATAGAAAGCATTAATATAGTATAGATGCAAATGCTTATAATTGACATTAGTTCTGAATTTTTTTTTTGTTATAAACTAGCAGTTCGAAAAGTTTATAGTATGCTTAAAAGTACATGTGCCCTTTACTATTAAATTATAAAATACAAGACAATATATTTTCGATTTCTAATTTTTATTTTTAAATTTACTTTAATACTGTATATTTCTGTTTTGAACTTAACTACCGAAATAAATTGCATTTTTACTTCAAAATTTTAACAGACAGGCAATTTCATAGATTTTTAGTGCTGCAAATTAGCACTTTTATAATATTTTTTTTCCGTTTTAATACTGTTACATAGCACTTTTGTGAATGCAGTTAGAACTTAGGCTGTTGTATCTACGTACGATCCTGACTGCATTTGTGATTGAAATGGATGAGTTGTTTCCGTAATCTTAATTTGATTAAATAAAAATATAAGTATACTTCAATGGATACAATAAATTGAAACAATAAAATATTAACAAAGAATTTCATTTTATGATCATGAGATTTTTAATGTCTGACGCTATTTTAATTAACGTTGTTAAAGACCTTTTACTTCTCTATTCTTTACGTACTAAAGCACATTAAGTAACGATAACTAATTATTGTCCTTGCAAACCTTTAATGCATTGTTAATACTATTATTCAGGTAATTAATTAGCGAAAGGTGAGTTTAATGAAATACAAAACATATCAATTATAAAATATTTGCAGTCATTAAACTTTTATTTTAAAATATTTCTGCTTTGGAATAGTTAGAAACGTTATTTCCATATTTCAATAACATTAACATTTCCTGTTCGTAGATATAGTCATCAACACATTAATGCCATGAAAATTGCTCGAAAACAAAAGTATTTTAAAATTAAAATTAATAAGTAACTATTACTTTAATACTCATAAGTATTTGAAGGACACAACATATACAATATAATTTATTAATTTTGTTTTATTATTATTATAACATCAGAACCAACCTGAAAGATAATAGCTTCCCGTTCTGCTCGAGTCGCTTTACTGAAAATATTGTTCATTATTTCCAGATATTTATCGCGCGGCAAAGCGGTCGCTTCATCTTTGTCAAAATAGTCAATAAAATCGTATAGTAAAAAGTAAGTTCCTGAAATCATAAATAGATAAAACACAATATTCATTAATTTTATTTAAAATTTCATTAATAGAATGTTTTTCAAAAATCACGTTTTATAACCAGATTGATAACGTACTTTCTGTTTACATGTCATTCGAAGTGCACCCAGCTTGATTGGTTACAATTGGAAATACTACATGATATTCATTAAATAAACATAAATTTTGCAATCAATGTTCTAATTGTTAAACTATAAATATTAAAAAAAATAGTTAGCAGTTTTGTAATAGTAATAAAAAACGATAATGGTGGCAATAAAATATAAATGCTTTATGATACAAGGCAATCCCTTATACATGTATGCAAAACAGGTTTCGCAAATAGAAATAAATTAATTACATTTTAAACACTATAGGCAATAAGAGCGGTCACGGTGAGGGCGGTACGGCGAAGGCAGGGACGATAGAAATGAAGGTAGATCAGAGTCCAAATTATGTTTTCAATATTAGCTCCAATTTTACTAAAACCATAAATTTTATTTAATTATTAATGCGTAAGCGGTAAGCTACTAAGTAGTGAGATACATTAGATCATATAGGGCACTGCACAATAACTAACGGTGCCATTGCGAACGGTTGCTTAAATTTCTCAAAGGTCAACCGGCAGAATGACTATCAGAGTGTTATTTATGCGGGTCTCGATAGTAGATAAGGTTCATCATAGTAATCTGCCCAGAGCGCTCAGGATGGTCATTAAAACCAGCACTAACTGTAAGTACTTAAGTATATCATTTACTACTCATAAATTTCATTGTTAATAATTTATCACAGTTATTACAACTATTCAAACGATACGATAATGTAATCAAATAGATTTTCATACTAGCTAACTTAGAAGTACATATATAATTTCAAACTTATTTTACGAGTAATATACTGATTGTAATTATTCTTTAAATCAGCCGTGTTTTGCGATTATTTTATGATATATATTACTAATACCGAAAATAATAAAAAATAATTTATTTTAAAATGTATAATCTTTTATTTATGCATAAATACGTATATTTATGTTATATATATATAAATGTGTAAGGAAATTAACAATGACTTTTAGCACATTGTTTAGCATCTAATCACTAGCCTAATATGGAGACAGAAGCCATCTCATGAAATATTTTGGCTAACATTCCATTGTTATCTGCAGGGAAACAGAAATATAGAAAAACTTCTAGTCACTGCCTACCTTATAGGGAGAGGCGATTAGTACAAAGCTCCTTAAGAAGTTAAAAGAGTTAACAAAACTGACGATGATAAGTCGTATCTCAATGTGGTAAAAGATTCTTTGAAATATTATTATTATTTCACATTTTAACAGTAAAATTTACTGTTAAAAATAATTTATATATAAACAGAATCAGATCTTAATTTCAAGCTAAGCACCCAATAGTGCGGGAATCTGTGTCCTTAGTAAATCTTTTGTTGTAACAATTTAATATAATCGAATTGGAGATATTTAGCCCTTCCAGTCGAGTTGAAAATATTTCTTATTCAAAATTTCTTAACATCAAATAGAGACAGGAGTTCTCCGCTGAATATTCTCTCTTATACTAGATTAAAATCGGAGAGTCACAGGAAATGTGATATTGATATTAAACAAAAGAGGGACGATAACCTGCGTAGGCTACTTTACATAAATCAGTAGATAAGATGTAACCCAGTTAGCTGAGCCCAAATCAGCTGATGTCCAATTTTAATTAAATTATTTAAATAATTAGTATACTTTATATTTAAATAATTTTCTAGCTTAATAAATATTAATTTTTTTGCTATGTATAATATTATTTTATATTTCAATAAAGAGGATTTCTATTAAAATTTAAAATATGTAAAACTGTTTACTTTGCTAAGAAATACCAGACAATTGAATAAAATATTGTTTAACTAATTTTTTGGCTTTCATTCAATAAGAATAGCTTTATTATAATAATCCGTGTATTATAGAAAACGATTTTTATTTATTGTGGATGATTAATTTTCAACAAAATAGAGTCCTTCTAAAGTCGTTCTTCATATATTATTTTCGTCAAACTAATAATTATTGGTTTTTTTTATTTTTATATTCTTATATTTTTTATGAATACGAACCACAAAACAACTGTAAAATAAAATCAAAGTTAAAATAAACAAACTGCAAAATTTCAACAAATAAAGTAACTTGAGTCCTTTGTAGTGTTTTCTTTTCTTATACAACAAATTCGCTTTCTGTCCTTTTCCTGTTCGTCTTGCAAATGTCCTTGGCATGTCTTTAATAACCTGAAGCAACTTTACTATGGTTTTATTAAAATTATTTTTGCAGTTCTTACTTTTGCTTATACTTTTTATTTATTTATTATTCTATTAGCCTTTGTTTACTTTTACACTTTCGTAAGCTGGACTCAAAAATTACAAAGCATATAACTGGAAGGATAAAAGTAACTGCAACTATGAGTTTTTGAATTAATAAAATTTTTTGTTGAAATATTGTATGAATAAATATATAATTTTTTCATCTTATTTCATCATACAGAACTAAATTAAATGACACACAGAAATGGTTTTACGTAGTAATAGTAAATATAGTACCTAGTAACTTACTAAAATAATTAAATACAAATCTTAGGTGAGAAATTAGTATATTAATTCAAGAAGGAAATTTATAAAAATATTTTTAAATACAAGTTTATAAATTGTAAAATATAAATTTAAAATTTTTAAAGGCGTACTACAAAACGGTAGGAGAATGAGACAATAAGGAAAATAGATATAAATTCCGGATTGTAAACGTCTATAGCGGATAATATTGAGATTCATTTGAAGTAAACAATGGTTTACCAAGAATTGTGATACTTTGATGATGTTGATATTGAATCAAACAAACCAAAAGTCATAATCTAATAAAAATAAATATATATGGTTTTATTGCAATATTGTCTATTGAGTGCAATATAGACAATAGAATTAAGAGAATGCCGCAGATATAGTTTTATTAAGATTAGTTTATATTAGGTCGTGATTCTGATGATGACTCTCAAGGAGACTCGAAATATAGAATATATTAAAAAATATTAAACAAATGTTGAATTATTTAATTAAAAATTACCTATAACCGGAAAAAAAAATATAAAAATCACTATTAAAAAATCAGATTCGATAAATAAATTCAAAATACAATAAAGCTTATATGCTCATACAATAAATATACATATAAAAAGTCATACATATGAGTTATTGCAATAAGTTTCTTACACTCTCTATTATTTCATACAAAAGATTTAATATTATAGTAAATGTTCTAGAACTATAAAGTCGGTGAAATCAATTGTTAATTAAAATAAATATTTGTTTATTCCATAAATATTAAATAAACCAATAAATAGTTGCCTTGGCATTTAAAAATTCAAAAAAAAATTCCGTATATGCCATACCATATATTTCCTGTGATTATTTTAAAATAATAAATCAAAGGAAATGATAACTTTCCCAGGGTTCTGCTATAAATCGAAAAATCAATACGCAACTAAATGTCACATGGCATTTATTTAATTATTTCGTTACCAGTGTTGCCATTATTTTATCATTCGATATTTAACCTCATACGCCGCTGGTAGTCTCACCGGCACATCGTTGAAATTGCAAACTGTGTTGGCCACAGGCTCCGTGGCCAAAAATTATTGCACCTGCTTTCTGTATTCTTTACTGAGTATTGTTGCTCAGATACCCAGAAGAGCTTTTAGCTCTGTTGGCATTTTGACATTTGACTTAGATTATTTGATTCCATTTTATTTTTTACTTTTTTAACAGAATAAAATTTAAAGCGCACATCAAATGTCGCTGCAAAATTAGTCAAAAAGTAAACATTTAATTTTAAGCAAAATTTTTACTGAAAGATAACCATATAGAAATACACTATTAAATAAAAGTATATATTCAAGTTAATTTGAAATAAATTCATATAAAGCAAAAACATCTTAAAAATATCTGTGAACTCTAAATATACATTATAGGATTTTACTTTTTTAATTAAATTTAATTAAGGAAATGGTTTTGTCAAGGTAATGATTTTTTTACATACTCCATATAAAAAGGTACTTAATACAAAGATACCGGATATAAATATTTCTGTTTATTATTATTTTGAGACAAACTGAACACCGTAATAGAGCTTTGTTTAAATTACGAAAATAATTGGATTGAAGACAATAACGAAATCATCATTATGCCACTACCAGTATATGGATAAGATAACTCATGACCTTAAGTGAGATTCATTTTTAAAAAGTGTTGAAATTACTTTTGATTATAGTAGTTTATTACTAATTTATTTTAATAATTGAAAAGCTACTGCATGAACTCTACAATGCAGACTATATATGATATTCTCTACCTAAGATATGGCTTATTAAAAAATGTGGAAAAATTGATCCAACAATAATTGATAATAGATGCTGCACAGTATCCGAAATAGCCCAAAAATTTGATTGATTAAAATTGAAACTTTTAGATTTCAAAATGTCCTTCCAATTTTTTATTAAAAAATAGACTTCTGATTAGATACAGATTTCGTGATATTAGAAAAAAATTTGAATACCTAAATAAATTTTTTGATATATTGCGTTTAATCTTAAAGACTATAAAGACTATAAATAAATTTTTTGATATATTGCGTTTAATCTTAAAGACTATAATATTCAAACATTTCTTACACAAATATTGTATAAAATTCTTTTTTTGTTTTTTAGTGCCGTTAACTAGCACTTTGTATACTTTCATAAAATAATTCTTTGTTATTAACTTACAAACGTTGAAAGTAACCGCAGTAATTACGATATTCCGATATGTTGACATCGATATGCGGCGTTCTTTTACGAAAAAAACCAATACTATCATTAAGATGCTCCGTTGAGATATCAGTCTAGTGATAAGTTTACTGATGGGTACCAGTCAATTAGAAAACCATGCTAGAAGACTGAATTTCCTCTTTTAATCATTCCAGTCGCAGTTATGGTGACAGTCGTGGTCTAGCGCATGTGTGGTTCTTTTTATTATTTTAGAAAGAAAGCCCTTTTTTTTAAGATTTTGACCAACTTCAGCAGCTTTCTCTAAAAAGCATTTTAAGCTTTGTCAAAGATAGCAGGGCGATTTTTATGCCTCAGAGTGACTTCTACGTTAACACAATGGATTTCGACCCACTGCAGGAACTTTCTCAAAAAAACATTCTAAGCTTTATCCAAGAACAAGAATGATTTTTAAGCCTCTGGGCGTTTTCTACGTTAACACAATGGACCAATAAGTCTAAGTGAGTTCTTGGGATCGTAGGCATAACCTAACCTAACTGTAAGTATTTGAATAAAGTTGAGTACTAACTACTGGGGTGAGTAGATTGAAGATGTTTAATTCGTATTAGAAATGAATTTAATTTAGTGTGGCAATTCAACTGAATTTTTAAATTGACTTGATTATTTTGGAAAATGACTTTATGAATTTAGTATTTTTAATTTACATATTATTTTGCCCAAAATCTATTATTTTTTAGCTTGCAGAAATATTTATATCAAAACATCAACAATATTTAACTACAATAATAGAATTTAAAGGAGTATCTGCAATTATTTTAATGAAAGATCGATTTCCATTAAATTTTTAACTTTATTATTTTATTTATTCTATTTACCTATAATTGCATTGGAAAAAGTAGGAAAAAACAGGAAGAGGAACCCTTTGTCATATGGTATGACATGCAAACCTAAAAGGATAAATAAAATTCCACTTATAAATGTAAACATTTGAGAAAATGTTGAAAGGCGAAGTAATCGCAGGAGTGCGTGCGAAGCGTGCCTAGCACGGGACAAAGCAGCTGCTTTTTATTGTTTATTGCACACACATTTTTCGGTTTTCTTTTTATTGTATTTGCGGCATCGCTTTTAACACATACCGAAAGCAGCGAAAGCAGCAAAAGCAGCAAAAGCAACAACAAAAATCTAAATAAAATTATGGTTTTAAAAGAGATTGCAATTGTTGAAAACAAAGGATTTCGTTCAGAACACAATTACAGGGCGTAGAGTTTAGAAAGAAGAATTCCTTAACTGCGTTCCCTGACTGGTAATACTGGTTATTGTTTTTGTAAAAAGTAAGTGACCTTGAACTCACTAACACACTCGACTCTACAGAAAAAATTTGTGTGAATTTGTGTAAAACGGCAAGGCACACACTCTATGAAAAGAAATCAGGATAATGGAGTAGACGAAAAGAGTGAAACTTGCAAAACGAAGAAAATACAAAAACCGAATGCACGGCAAAACAAAGAATAATGAAAATAAAATCGAAAAAAACAAACACAAAACAAGCAAAAAGTTAACAAAAGAAAATTGTGAGCTGAGTTACAACTGAGCTGAGAACGTGCAAATTGTGAAGGAGTGCTTTTTATTCCCTTTTTGTCCTTTATGGTTGTTTGTTTTTATTTACATTTGCTGTTAAAGATTTTCGTTTCTTTTATTTTTTCATTCTTTTTGATTATTCTACTTGGTGCTTAATGTCAACTTTTTAACAAATAAGCACAAAGTAAATAAAGAAGGAAAACATAATTCAAAATTTATTCGCAAAACAAATTGACTTTCTGCTTAGAGGATTGCGCTTTTCGCGCTGTAAAATATTTTTAATTAAAGTTTACGAAAGGTACATGCGATAAAATTATTAAAATCAAAATAAACTATTTTATGCTTACCTCGAAATATTGTTAAATTAATAATATAAGATATATTATAGATATATTATATATAAGACTTTAGGCTTAGGTTAACGTAAGAATTATTGTGGAATTATTGACCGGTCACAGTAGATTGAATAATCACCTATCAAAGTCAGGAATTCAGTCCAACTCAGACTGCAGTTTCTCTAGAGAAGAAAAGGAAACTGCATACCATATACTTAGAGAGTGTCCGGCTCTGATGCACAAGCAGAAAAAACACTTAGGACGGCATTTTATGGATTATAAGGATCCAAAACTAAGAAAGATAGTCTCTATACTATTATTCATTAAAGAAATCGGACTTGGAGCAACACTTTAATCTGACTAAGAGGCACAATAGATCTTTTAGGTCGTAGTGAAATATCCCTTCTTTTCAATTATAATAATAATTTAGTAATAAATTTAGTAAATAACCAATTTAACAATAACCAACTATATTGAACTAGTTTCAAAATTTACTTAACATTTATGCAATTATTTAACAGCTATAATATAACAACATTAATATTCTAGAACTAATGCAACAGAGTCTGCGAGAAAATTCTAATAATAAAAATAATAACAATAATAATAATACATAAGACTTCAATTTAATTTTTAAAGAATTTTGTAAAAATATATAAAAAAAAGAAAAATAATAGTCAGGATTGCACTGTGTAGATGTAAGGCAAGCATTTAATTAATTTTTAAGAATACTTTTAACAAGAAAATGTAAATTTCTGAGTACAATTTAATGCTAATTCCAAGTTATATATAAAAAGTAAATATTTTTCATAGTATATTTCCCAAAAATTATTTTAATAAAATTTAATACATTAAAATAATTTAAGGAGTAAAATACTCTTTAAATAGTATTATCCTTAAAACACCTTTTTATACAGGAATTTATTATTATATATTTAAATAATTACTTATTTAGAATTAATTAGAATTAGAAATAAAACATGAGTATTTTAAATTGGTATATGTTTTTGAACTTATTAATTTAAAATTTAGTGCGTATACGCCATGTGTATAATGCATGTCAAATTATTTTTTAAAAATAATTTTAAAACAAGTATGAATTTAAAAATTTCAATTCTTAAAAAAAAATTTAATAATAAATTCAAATCAGAAATAAAAACTTTGTGACATATTTTTTAAAATTTTATTTAACTGAAATTAAGTGCGTATAAGTGAAACATAGCATAATTCAATTTTTTAAAATACTTCTAAAAATAATGCCATCGAGATAATTTCAATCATATCATCTCCTACAATTACGTGAGGTCATCTTTATTATATAGTACTTAATATCTGCATTACTGTTTTACTAACATTTTGACATACCCGATGAGAATAAAAACTTTCGTACACCTGTACTAAATTCATTGAGAATGACTTTGATCTATACTAGTTGTTATATACAATAAATTAATAAAAATAAAGAAAAGCGAAAGATAAAAAAACTAGAATATAATTATAAAAATACACATTATTCCGTCTCTCTGGTAATTAAATATGCCTGTTAGAATCAGCAATACATAGTATATCCACTCCCACATCTCGACAATAATATACAATTCTTGCTTCACTATTTAAGAAATGTCAAAAAACTATAAATAATAAGAATATATAATACTGACAATTCCAAATTTCAGTAAACACTACCAAAAAGTTAAATACTTAAATCGTATTAAGTCTTTAAGACTTAAAGGCTTACAACCACCTCTCAAAAGTGAATAATGAAACATTACAATCATCAATAGGAATCTGTTTAAAACGCATATAACTCTAAGAAAATAACATTTGTCTACAAATGCTCTCATATTATGGTATAACATGGATTAATAATGAATGTCGATGTCTTTTACTCTATATTGAAATTGCATTACCCAAATACGAATTTAACAGGATGGTATTCACAATCACTAGGACATTAAAATTTCCTATTACAAACATTGGTCTTCTATTTAATTTTTTAAAAATGTTTAATATTATTATAGTTTATAGTTTCCATGCTCAAAATATCACAAGTGCACATTAAATAAAATTTAATCTTAGTTTATGGCTTCAAAACAGCAATGACTCCTATTTAATAACTGAGTTTAAAAATTTAAACATTAATTGCAGATATATTTAGTTTCATTAAATATTTATAGATTTTTTTTATATTTCTATATTAAATCGCATGACAGTGCAACATAAAACACACCCATTCTATTGTATCTGCAAGAGCAGTAAATGCAAGCAGCGCCAAATTCTGAAAGAAAATCGCAACGAAAAATGCAATTTTCATACTCGTAAATGACAACATTTATGGATGCTCCCGGGGATGTGTTGTGTAATAAATTGCAGAAATTAAGCACTCAAACATAAAAATGGAGCATAAAAATCCATTCGCAATATAACGAAAAAATTATGAAAAATTGCAAATAAAAAATTACTTTTTGAATTGGATTCGTATGTAGAGCATTGCTGACGTCAGAGAAGTTGTAACAATAGCTGAGTAAAAAATTTACATTATGGAACAATATGTTCAAAACAAAAAAAAAATCTTCAAAAATATACATTTTGATTGCAGTGCTCCAGCAATATCTGAGCGAAGAATTTTTCAAGGATGCAAAAGTTTGTCATATTTTTAATAAATAGTTTTTGTAGTGAATGACAAATAATCAGAAAATGGATTCTAATCTTTGAGTAATTAAAAATATTTTATCACTTTATAAATTTTTTGTAAATCATAAAAATCTATTATCTTTCAAAAGAAAAGTTTATAATAAATACGTTCTATGAATGATCATAACTTACCTTCATCACGAACATTGCCCATTAGTATATCATAACCAGTCAAATCAGCTGTTTGTAATAAAGTCATTGGATCACTTGGTAAAAAGGCTCCATCAATAGTTGGCCCCGATGGAAAGCTTAAAATGCCCGAATATGAATTCCATTGCTGAACAGAAATTGTTTTTGCATCAACGGCACGCATGCAAGCCATAACAGCTTGAGGATTTTCCTATTACACAAATACAGGAATATAATCGATATAAAATAACTTATTTAGCATATAATGTGATAATTAAATAAAACTAAATTACCGCTAATAATGAAGCATTGCAATTGCAGTCATTTATAAGTGCCTTTCCAATTTCCACAGCTTTTTCAGATGTCATATGACTCCATGGTGCATTCATAGTACCTGATTGCATCATACCTCGTTTGACTAAACCCTTCGTAACTGGTGACATAAGTTGAGCATTTACTGAACTTGAACCCGCTGATTCACCAAACAATGTCATCCATTCTGGATTCCCGCCAAATGCTTTAGCATTTTCTTTCAACCAACGTATAGCCAGTGCTTGATCCCATAATCCAACATTACCAGGTGCTTCTTCTTCAAATCCAGGCATAACCGGAGATAAGTGCAAGAATCCGAATGCTCCAACTCTATACTGAAAAGATGCAACAATAACATTTCCAACAGCGGACATAATATCAGCATTATAGATATCAAGCGTTGCAGAACCAGTCATAAAACCACCACCATAAATCCAAATTAAAATTGGCAGTCCATTAGAGGTATTTTGCGGATTACCATTGTGTATTAAGTGATCTGTTTCTGATTTTCCAGCATGCTGAATATATTTCATAAAGAACAATAATAAATAGAATTATTTATAAATAAATACAAATTTTTTAATTGTGTATATTTTTTAATCAAAATTAAATATGTACATATCTTTCCATATATTTAAAAAATAAAAATAATAAAAACATGGTGACATCAATTAATATTAATATGAACGCTATAATATATGTTACATACCTCCGCACCATTTGCACCGCGGCCATGTCTTAATCGTGCCTTTGCCGGTGCCCAAATATTTATATACAAACAATCTTCAGAAACGTTTGTATTAGGATTCCATATTTCTTCACCAGAAAATCCAGGAAAATATTCATATCTGAAATTATATCAATATAGTTTTAAATAATATTCAATAAAAATAATATTATTATGTTTATTAAGTAGTTCATTATATCCAATTTAATAGAATAGATTTATGCTAGAAATTGCACAGGCTCGGAGAAGACTTTTCAAAGTACCATGGTACATTAGGACGAATGACATCATCAGGTTCGATGATGTCAAGATTGATCGGATCAAAAAACACAAAGGATAAAGGCCTGAAAATATTTGCGAAAACGAACAGGCCGCGTTATCGAAGCTCAGAATGGTTATAGGCTCTTCAGGGGGGTATGCAGATCTGAAGTCAGTTATTGCTTAGTCTGATGAGGTGATAAACAATAATCCAGTCAAGACGTAGAGATGGGTTATGAAGAAAACTCACAGTTAATTCAGAGTAAAACTGCTCACGTACACTGACTCAACTAGTCTCAACATAATCAGAATTGAATTCGAATATATAAAGTAAATTAGAATTGCAATTAAATTAAAATTAGATTTAGACTTTTGTTCACTGAGGTGAGGATTCCATATTAGGTTCTAGTTAATTAAGGTACAAAATGTTTAATCCTCTTTCCATTCATTATTCATCATCATTATTCGTTATTAGATCAAATTATTTTAATTAAATATATAAATAAATAGCTAAAATTAATTATCTTTTTAATAAACCAAACTTTTCATAATTTGTATTAAATCACAAAACTTAATTAAAATGAAGCTTAAAATTCATTTTGGACGTCAAAAATAAATGGTTTGAGAAGATATTTCAAATTAATTCTAAAATAAATTTATGCAAACGCCACACATGACAAATAAGTGGATGGAGGCGGGTTTGGAAAGCTTTATTTGAAATTTATTTAAATTAAATGTGGTAACACTGTTAACGAGTGTGTACCAATTTGTTTTAAATAGTTCCGCCAAATAGGCGTAAACAGTTTAACTTTGTGTCTCACTTTATTAAAACAAATGACTTTGTTTTTCCGTTAAATTGTATCATCAAAATTACGACTGGTAATATTTTATTGATATAACTCAAAGCTCTAGTGATATTTGTCTTCCAATGGAAGTTGACTTACTATTACCAAATGAGAGTTATTACATACTTTTAAGCGTTATAAATGTTTGAAGACAAATAGTTTCGGTTATATTTTAATATTTATATATTACCCATTAGCAAAGTTTTTTTATATTTTTTTTTTTATATTTTTTTAGTAATATTATTAAAGTAATATTACAGTAAAATTAAAAAACAAAGTACAGTTCCGCAATTATGACTCTAAAATGACCAGGATCAAAAATAGAAAGGAGGCAAAGGACAATCTTTATAACACATCTACTCCAGTACACAAAGTGGCAAAATTCAAATTAGACGATAAAGTTTGGTATTTTCTGAATCAAAGGGATGTTAAGATGAAATTTTTTCTGAGAAATCAGAAAAAATTAACAAAAAATTTGATACGTGAACAACGAAAATTTCGTGCAGTGTTGGCTTCTTTGGTTTAAACACGCAAAGTCATTGCATTTAATTTGACAGATTCAAAGTTTTTATAACCCAACAATTGTTTATGGATTTATATACGAATATTTCCAAAGACCAGTGATGCCGAGTATTTAATAATACTCGAAAAACTTCAATTCAAAAACCCTTTTATTAAAAAAAAAGTTGTCGTTCGTCATACTTTACTTTAAAAATTGTGTTTAAATATAGGTACTAAGATATACTTGCAAAAAAAGGTTTATTTCGAAAACTATATTTTAGAAATATTTCATTTGCAACTCATTTAAAACCTCTAATTGAGATTGAAAAAATCCCTAATATTTCATTGACATCATGCAGCACATCCTAGAGCCATTTATTAAGACAGATGATCAAACAGTGTTCCGGTATACCACACAGTTGAAAATTTCAATTTAACTAGAATAATGATATCGTCCGTTGCCAAACTATAAATGGCTTTTATCACGACTTTTAACAACAGTTTTAAACAAAAACGTCTTCAGTTAGAAAGAAAAAATAATCATCTATCAAGAGAATATATGGGTACTCGTATATTCCGTATATTTGCCAGGTTTATTCTTTTTGTTTCCAAACGTAAAACGTTATTTGAAAGGAGAGTAAATTGTTAACAAAAAACTAGAATGATTCCAAAAAATGGTTGAAGAAAATATGTAAAGCTCAGAGGCAATTATATTAAGAAACACTCGTAATAATGAATCAATGTCCAATTTATCAATTTCACTAATAAATAAAGTTTGTCTAACGCTTTCACAATTTACAGAAGCATCCATATGTAAATTTCAAATTCTAAGTGCAGTCTGTAAGATTTTGTAAGAACTAAATGAACATATGATAGTTATCATTTTATGTGGTTTTTTCGAGCATTTCAAACTTTGGAGAAGAATCTTTCCAGCTTTTACTTTTAATACTCGTATATAGAAATTACATGTTTTATTCACAATATAAGTTGTAATTTAACGTCAGTTGTGATAGAAGTGACTATATTTAATAGAAAGTAGCATGTATGGTAGTGAGGTTTCGAAAAGTAGTAAACTACAACAACAAAAAATTTTATTTTATTTTAAATAACTGAATTTTTGGCTAACCATACAGCTGTTTTTAGTATTGCCAAATGCAAAGGTTTTATTTATGTATATCTTACATACTTTGTTTAATAAATAAAGCCAATTCGTAACCATAATTTTTGAAAAGATTTTACTTCCTTGCATAGTTCTATGTTAATCAATACATAAACTTTAATTTAAAATACACACGCTTTAATATTACTTTTGAGGTTTAAAAAATTTATATCGGAAGAAAATAATTATTTACCCGAATCAGTTATATTGTGTGATCCTTTCGCCCCTTTTTTTATATCTTAATTTTTTCGATTAAATTAATCATTAAAAAAAAAACTTTAAAATAATAACAATTGCCGCAAAGTTAAACATAACATAATATATATCTAAATAAATTCTAAATTGTCCCCATTTAAATAATGAAATTGATGTACCAGTATATAGAATGCAAAATCTTGACATACTTACTAACCAAACATGTAGCAATGACGTCATTGCACGAACTAAGACAAACAAAATTACTCAGGCACAGCTGCGAAATAACTTTTCTAGGTTACATGTAAAAAGAATTCACAACCGAAAATACAAAATGATATGATTTCGGGAAAATGGAACACCGCACTATGGAATTTGTTTTGGCAGAGACATACAATACATCATCGCAAATTTTCATTTTCAACTAGTTTGAATTATTTGGTATGTATGTATATGGTATGTGTTTTAGTAGAATATATGGAATGAAAGAGCAAAACATATAATTTTGAATATTTACCTTTCTTGTACACAGGTTGCCGGTAAACGTGTAGCGTCTAAAACCCCATGCCATGGCTCAGCGGGCACCGGCTTGCGAAAACGTAAATCATCTACTGGTGGTTTTGCATAAGGTATGCCAGAGTAAACATGCACCTCGCGTCCTTGTACTGTTATCGAACGACCGCGTACAGGACCGCTTGTTGTTTGTACAACCAAACGATCTGAAACGCCAAATACCGAAGACAACCGTAATAGTAAAACAAAAACAACCAAACTTATGCGAGCAATGTCATTACTTAGCCCGGATAAAACCGAATTATGTGACCCGCGTGCCATGCTAACAAATCAAACCGAACGTAAACGAGATTTTGAATAAAACTTAATATTGTTTCCAATGACGTCACACTTGCAGCAAACAATAAAAGTAGGGCAACCTAAGTCAGCTCTGTGGTCGATACAAAGAAGAATATTTAATGGAGTAGAAAAAATCCTGATTGTGTTTTTTGCCGATATGAACCAATGGAGAGTTGATGCTTCTTTTGAGTTCTGGGTTTGTTTTCTGAGATGTTAGTAATATTTTTATAGCTCACTAAAATTTCGCAGTTTATGGAATTCAATAATGCACTTTACCGCGTAGTTTCGCGCACTGCTTAAAACTGATTCGAAATAGCTACGCAATTTGTTAACCGATGTATTTTTGTTGGGATAAAATGTTTGCACGGATATCTTCTCTATGGCTCTGTGATTATATACACACACAGGGCTAACGAAAGCAATTACACAAGCATTTACCTACTGAGTATCTCACAAGTGCAGTCTTAAGACGTATCTACAAGTTGCTCAATATATATTATATAAATAAACGTACGTATGTTTCTAAGTTTATTTTTTCTACTTGTTTCTAAATCTCTTGCAGTATTTGGTGCAGTAATGCTACATGTCATTTGCAGTTATTCGTACGTGTTGCCTTAGTATGTTATTGTTTTTGATTTGAAATTATCCTTGCTTGAAGCAAATAACTCCAGTGCATTATCATGTGTTCCCCTTACATGCATACACTGATACACTGCTTTTTGCTATATGCAATATGCCTTCAGTTGTAATAAACTGCACCGGATTCCACTACATTTCCGGAATGCAGCATTTGCATAGCCTATCGTAACTCTTCTGTTGAACCGCTTTTCTTTGCTTCTTTGTATGTTGTCAATCACCACTTAACTTTTTCTCTTCTTTGCAATTATTGTCTTTTTCTTATTTGTTGTTTCTTTGTTTTTACTTATTTTGATTTTATTTACACTGCAGATCGAAATTATTTAAGCACTTGTTTTCTACTTTATCCGTTCTTTGGTATCCTTTGTGTTTGCAATGCTTTTTAAGTCCTTAAACTTTTTACTCCACAAATCTAGCAACTATGCAGTTCTTGCGCTGTATTCTTTACTAATTCCTTTTAAAATATATATTATTGTTGATATTGTTGTTGCCTAAAAAAATAAATATAAATAAATATGTTAATAGAGAAATAAAAATCTTGCAGCAAAATACGAGTAAAATGCTCAACTAGGTCTTTTATTGCATAATTAAACACACTAGCCGTTTTCCCATATATCCCCGCACTAATGTCAATTCCATAAAGGGCATATAAAATGCATTCACACCACACACCATACACTACACTCTGAACAAATACACAGTGTTAAAATAATGTCATATCTGTATCTTTTTCTGTTCATATTACACCGAATATTAAGCGACTCGTTGACATCCGCTCTACTAAATGCAATATAAATAAATGAAATTTTTATTATATTGAAACATGCAAAGTGTGAAATATTAGATAGACTTCATACGTATATCTAATGGATACGTGAGTACGATGACTACCGTCAACAATCTAGACGAACTTAGCACTACAATTTTTATCTAGATTTTAATGTTTGTGTGGATATTAAAAAAAATTGGTGCAAATTACTTTGGCATTACTTAATTTTGCTACATCAAACGCAACTTTTACTTTTTTCAACAGCAATTATTATAACATTTTCATGTAATTTTGTTCAGTTTTTAAATATCAACAAAACATATACTAATTTTGAATAAAATATATGAAAAACAAAAAAATGCAAGTACTGTGTATTAACACTTATGTAAGTGATAGAGTTATACAGTAATTGGACTACTAAATTTACCTAACTAATATTATACGAGTAACAAACTTCAACTTTTTTCGAGTGTGTAGGGTATTCGAAAAATTTAACATCTGTACATGCTTCAAATCGAATCGTTTTTTATTTACAAATAATGATTTAGAATGTAATTCAGAAAATATCAACTGCCTTTTTTTTAATTATTTTAATTTGTTTTTTCTGGTCCACTTCAAGTACAAGTTTGTAACCATGATTTAAATTTTGTATTGAAATAATATTTATAAAAAACATATTACTATTTTTTATTAATATATTATTTTGTATTAATATAATAATATTAAAACATAGTTGTATCAGTTGACTTTTAAATACAATACCATCGCCCAATATTGGGTGATTTTCAAATAATTTTTTGAGAGCTTGCTAAAAATGGAGAATTTCACATGTTTCGCTAGGTTAGAACCAAAAACTCAACAGCTTTAACATTTCTAACACTCTTTAGACGTGCTTTTAGCAAAATAAACTGGAATTTTTATGCATTCTCAGAAACATTGCCTAAAATGCGAATCCATCACTACGCTGAGGAGGAACAAAAAATTTTTAAAGTAATGGATTAGAAAAGATAAAAGAGCTTTGATAATTAGAAGCTGTTTCTGTGAAGTCAAGAAAATGTGGTTGATTAATTCAAACATTATATCATTATTCAAATAGCAAAGAAAAAACAAACATCTTCCTTTCAATGTAAAGTGAAAACTTTTGGAATACTGCACATACTCCACATAAATATAAGATAGATAAACAAAGAACTAAGATTTCCGGTCCAAGCGAATTCATAAAATAATTTCAATTGTAGAAAATATTGTGATACTATAGTTATAATTAGAACTTTAATCGCAGACTCTTCCTTTCAATAAAAAATATAACTTCTAAATATAACTTCTTCTAAATATAACTAATCAATTTCCTACGGTTGGTTACACACCCTAAAGCTAATCAATTTGAGTAAACTTATTAGTCTAATTTCTGAGTTGAGCCTTTTCCGAATTAGTGCATCTGGGTATTTTTACTCTTTAATAGCTGTGAGATGTGTGCAGAGTTCCACCCATTTTACTGACTAATTTATGTATTTCTCATAAGCTTCGTGATTATTCAACGACTGATCTAAGATCTGCGTACCGCACCGTATGGTTAGTGATTACTCTGAGAATAGATAGTGCTAAGTAGGGCAACCAGTCGGTTTTCACATATAGCTTTAGAGCTCAAGTACCTCTTTGAAATCCTAATGTGCTTATGTTCCAAATGAAAAATTCATTAAAGCGCAAAAGCATTTTGAAAAATATGTTAAATCGGTGCCATTATAATTACGATAGAATAGAAAATAACAGAATTCTGGTAAATCATGGTAGATATTCTGCACTACCAATCGGCCCTTAAGCTACATATTCAAAAGAAACTATATTATAGTTCAAAGTAACGCAAATAAACAAAGAGCTTAAATCTAAATCTAATCCCAGCGCTTTCACTACATCTTATAATTGAAAAATCCTTTTAGAAGTAAAATTTACATTAAATTTTACAACTTACATTTTACATTTGTTTGTTGTATTTGGATTAAAACTAATGTTCTCGTAACAGAGAAAAAAATGGATTTCATACAAACTTTCGAACACGGGAAAGTCAGTTAATGGTTTACCGCCATGCAAAATGTAGCGACATTGTACGCCGTAGTCAGCACAAAGTACCTTTACAAAAAGTAGAGCAACAACAACAACAACAACAACAGCACCAACCAGTAATACAAAAACAAAAAAATTTCAACAAATATTTGAAGTAGTAAAGTACATAACAAAGAAAAGGACTCATGGTTGCTGGCATCAAATTCACAAAAAAGTGCTTACGAAAGGAAACTGAAAACGTGATGTTCGGGTAAAGTAAATAAAAAGGTACGTTGTTCAAATGGAAAAGTGATTGTCATCCACTTTTTGTTATTCTACTACTTGTTGTTACTGCAGATTTCTTGCACTTCTTGAAATAAATGCAGAAAAATTGAAACGCCAAGGACATCAACCGTTATTACAACTACAAGCGAACTGCGATACATTCAAACAACAAATATTTCTCCAAGCAGAGCTTCACATATAATAATGCAAATGTGAGGATACAATTTTGTTACAATTCCTCCAATGACCTTCTCTATTGCTGAGTGAATCAGATATTTTCATTTGTCTATATCTTTAATATATTACTAGTGTGCCTATATTTCCTTTTAAATTTATGCGCAATCAAAAAGTTTAGAGATAGTAGTAAAAGTTCGGAATTGACAATACTGGCGAAATTGACTCTCTGTATAACACACCTATTGGTCATACATCACATGACTGTCTGTATGGCACGACCTTTTGTTAACAAGATCATTTACTTTGGAATTATTTTTTTTCTAAACAAATTAAATTGCTATAAATTATTCTAATCTACGGTTTTAAAATATGGTCCACAATTATCTTTATTCTAGGAAAATAGGAAAAAATCAATTGATTTGGGAAAAGAAATCTTTGTAAATACATTTAATACAGGCACATTACTTTTAGAAAGAATTCTAGAACTCGTTAGTGTACTTCTCAAGAAATTCTTATATCTTTATATCACTTTATCTGAATATATCATCTGACGATCTCTTTGTAGATTAAATTTTCAACAATCGCTTTTTTAATATATTTTACAAACCTTCGCAGTTTCTGTCCCTTCTACTTAACCCACAAGCTACTTAATTCTACTACTTCTACTTAATTGCACAAACCTTCGCAGTTTCTCTCCCTTCTACTTAACCCGAAAATTCTCTCATAAAGGTTGTTTTTGCTTGTATCTAACTCTTCTCTAATTTGTCGACCCATTGTTCGTTGTGTACTTACCACAGTTCAAGAAATTTAATTTACTAGATATTAAGCCTATTAGGAGCAGATCCTAATTACTGGAATAAAATTTTGTTTATTGACTACACTCAGAAAAATGTGCTTTAACACACACTCTATTTAAATTGATCTGATCAGTGTGTTAGAGAAATTTTATCTCATCTGGTAAAGAAGATATGGAAACCTACATGTGTTATGGTTGAATCACATGATGAGTCGTAGTTAAAATTTTTCACATTTCATTCCTAAGAAATAGATCAAGTGAGCTAAAAGATAACTCTTGCTGAGGAAGACACTTGCGGACTATGTTTAGAAAGAAAGGAGACAGCGGTGCATATATTGTGCCAATACTGCACTGGCAAGCAGAAGGAAAACTGTGTTGGGACAACATTGGGTTGGTGATGACTTGGCAGCCAACCTCAAGCTAAATGAGCTGCTTGCATTAACAAGCGACGTAGATATGCGAACGGAAGCCACTTTCTCTCAGTTTGCAGATTTGTTTTTATCTATTTATTATCCAAAAAAGTAACACTGACAATATGCATAAGAAGAAAAAGAGCCATGTGAATACGGATTGACACCTAAAAATATCTATAACTTAAATTTGTGTAAGCTAATTTACAATATTAATAAAATGTAATATATCCCAGTATCCCCACAGAAGTGAAGGATTTGCCGAAATAGACCACCAAACGACTTGGGTCCTTTTCCGTCCTTGGATTCTCGTTAGTCGTTATTGAGTTAGAGCGAGAGTGGCTTCCGTTCGTATATCTACATCGATTGTTAATGCAAGCAGCTCATTTAGCTTGAGGTTGGCTGCCAAGTCATCACCAACCCAATGTTGTCCCAACACAGTTTTCCTTCTGCTTGCCAGTGCAGTATTGGCACAATATATGCACCGCTGTCTCCTTTTTTCTAGACATAGTCCGCAAGTGTCTTCCTCAGCAGGATTTATCTTTTTGAGGTGATACTTGAAGTTTCAATGTCCCGTAGTCAATGACGTCAGCCAACTTAGGGTGCTCCACGGATAGCGGCATTATAATAAAATGTCACATTATATATTTACCTAGAAAGTTATACAAAAGATATATATATATATGTATATATATATATAAAGCTGTAAAATTATGTTGATTTTTATTTTTTCATCAAGTGCAATAATTCTTTCTAAAATTTAAAACTTTAAACTCTTTTACTATTTTACTATTTTTCTTTCACGATGTGAACTTTTGTTGATATCAGGCCTTTTAATTTACTGCTTCATGTTTAGAATTGCTTCACGAGTAAATGTCAAAAGTAAGCCAATGCTCATGTTACACCAGAAGAACCGTTCGCCCCACTTCGTCTTCAAATTAATTTTTCTACTTCAGAAAAGATTGCTAGCTTAAAAGAAAATAAAAAACGTAAGAAAAAGAAAATCTAATTTAA